AAAGTGAAGTTTTACCTGTTTCTGTTGACTTTAAACTCAGCTCTATTGTTTCATTTGATGAGAGGTCTAGCACGCTAAAGACGATGTGCTTCTTTTCTTTGTGGTGGATTGACGAGAAGATACATTGGAATGTCTCTTTCATTGATATTCAAAAAATATATTTACTGCCTTCATCTGTGTGGATGCCACGCTTTCATCTTGAAAATTCAGCGACAGGGGATATGAATATTTACAGAGGAGATGCTGAACACGAACGAGTCTATTTTCACTATAATGGGTTTGCTATTATTGCATATAGAGGTCTTTCTACAACTAAATGCGAAGCAAATATCTTGTATTTTCCTTTTGATAAACATAGTTGTGAGTTAAATCTGTTAAGCTGGGAACCCATTGAAGACGTCAGTATGACTGTCTACGAGCTAAATTACAGTATCCCGACATTCCCAAACAAAGACTGGGAGGTACTCAATATCACAAAAAAACATTCCATTTTTCGAATTTCCGAGAATCACAGCATGGTGGAGATAACAATACAGTTTAAAAGGAGACCTGCATTTTATGTTCTGAACATTTTGTCGCCCATACCCTGCCTTGGTTTCATAAATATTCTAGTGTTTGCTTTACCCGTTTCTTCAGGAGAACGTGTGTCTTTCTCAATAACAATTTTGCTGACGTTGGTTTTCTTTTTAAACATGATCGCTGATCGTCTGCCTCCCTTAAGTGAACCAATAAGTCTATTCAACATAATGGTTATGGCACAGCTGCAAAACAGTGTGTTTATAGTCATTTGCACTATTTTGTCCATTATGACATATGAAAAATCGCAGAAAAAGGCTGAAGTTCCCAGCAGGTTGAGTAAAGTCGTTTTTATTTTGTGTGTAATGATGAAGAAAACAAACACAATCAGCGGCTCGAACCAAGAGGAAGACAATATGGATCCTGTAATGCAGAACGAACGCAGTTCATCTCGAAAAGAACATTCCCCCGTAAAGAGTATCACTTGGGATGACGTCCTGGACATTAGCAATAGCTTTTACTTTCGATTTTTCTCTTTTGTGTACATTATTGAATGGGTTATATATGCTATTTTAACATTTTCTGCTGTGTGTAACAGTCCTTTAATTTAGTGTCCAATTCATAATTAATATTTTAAGTCATGGCTTATAGAGGACTGCGTACTATTTAACATTATTTTTTTTAAGTTAAAATTATCGTTTTTAATTAATCCTGCAAAACACAATTCCAAAGTGTAACATATAAATATGACTTTTTTTTTACTTCTTAGTCTAAACAGCTTAAAATTTTATGATACTGGTCTGATTAGGTCCTGAGGTATTGGGCATTTTTTGATTTTTGTTTTTTTTTTATTATTATTATTATTATTGATCATTAATTTGTTTTTGTTTTCTTTGTTCAATTTTTTTGTAGTTTTCAGATGCCTCATGAAATTTGTAAATCAAATGCATTAATAACAGTTGATATTCTATGAGTAAATAAAATTTTCCATTTTTTTCTATCTTGTTTAGAAAATTGGAAATTCGTGTTTTACAGTCAAATATTCTTTCTATGCAATTCCGTTTTAATTCATCAACTAATCAAATACTTTTTTTTCAATAGAGCAATGCGCGCCACATTGGAGATCAAAAAACAGCTCAAATGAATGTCAAACATTGGAACCGAATCACTAAATGTATCCATGAAACCCGATTTTATAATACTCATCTCAGTCAAATAAAAAAGCAATTCAACTAGTGTTAATTTCAAATCGATTAGATCTAAATAAATATCATTTCATTATGAACGTTTCCAGGTAGGAATTCTGATTCTGCTACCAGTGTCAATTTATAAAATGCTTCTTATTTATATCTTTCTGATAAAAGAAAAAAAACGTATGTCCATTGTAATTAGACTTTAACAGATCACTAGATTTTAAAATATTTGCGGCTTTGGATAAATGACCACTAATTTTTTTCAAAATGTTTAACAGCTTATTCAAAATGAATTTAATCATAAAATGAACTTGTCATCTACACATGTTCCCCAGCTATGAAAAAACAAAAGCCTTGTAATACATATTATTGTATGAAATGAATTATCATCAGCAAACAATCTTCACATAAAACATATTTTCAGCAACATAAGGTTATAGTATATACGTCCCTGGTTTTGATACTAACAGTTCCTCTTATACTCATAGTTCAATTTAGAGGATGAAATTTTTTTTCCAGATCACATTTCAGTCTTTGATACTTTTAACATTCCAGTCAACCAAGATGAGTTTGATATATCCTACCTACGAGAATGGATTCCTCAACTTCATAAAAACCCTTACAAACAAAGAGGGTCCAGTCTTACCGAGCCCATATCTTTACTCCTCACAAAAATATTAACTGCTGTAAAGGAGAAACTTCAGACTTACTGTGCTACAGCATATTCAGGGGTGTAAATCAAATATGGATTCTCAAAAACTAGTAAGAACTTTCAAAAAATTTAAAATCACAATTTTTATGATATTCAAAGGATACTGGAGTTCCTCATTGACAACATCTATGTAGACCAGGTCTGCCAATAAATTGGTGGAATTTCGATGGGAACTTATTATATATGCTTCTTTATAAACCGACCTGTTTTTATATTCCTATGAAGAAGAATTTATTCAAAAACTTCTAATAAGAGGAAGAAAAAACTTGCTGTTGTGGCCTTCAACTCAACATTTAGATTTATGAACGACGTTTTATCAATTAACAATAGGTAATTACATTAATAGAATGGAATACTTATTCAACCAATTTGGGCCCACAGTGGAGCATAAAGATGAACAATGTCCGAAATCATAGTCATAAATAACAATAAACAGAACAAAACAAACAATTGTATATTGAACAGAGAGTTAGCTGTCAACTTTTAGGATGCATAAAATGTATACAAATAGTATATGTATAATGACTGTAATATGCCTATATTGCACTATGTTGTTTTCTCGTATTAAAATTTTCATTTAAATGTTTGCATAATAAAACAACAAACTCAGAATCTTCATTTGATATAATCCATGTAAACAGGTCCACATTATTGAGCAGTATTAAATTTGGAAAAGTTTTAAAGATTTTGTTTAAAAACTCATATTTCGAATCGATGTATCCCAATGAACTCGAAATTGGACACCATAGAGTCTGTCACATCTGTTTCATATTAGGATGTTTTACTGACTTTTGAAGATAAAGGACCAACTAACAACTAAAACTAAACTGTATGACAAACGAGATTTCAACTTTTCCATCATCAACTTTCCTCATTTATGTAGTAATATTTCGCTATCACCTGCATTATGGTGTTTGTTTCTCCCAACTTATTCGATACTGGTACTGAAGACCATTCTCTATTAAGTACAATCAACTTTGTTTTATTAACAATTTAAGCTAGGGTGTGCCTATGATAACTGTAACAGAAGGCAAAAATACATACCGAACCCAATTCTCTTGCTATTTTGCTGGGAAATATTTCTCATTCAGAATTCAACCTCTTTTTCTTAATTAAAAGCTTCTAAATACAGAAAAGAATCTCTATTCTTGTGAATATGCATCAGAAATATGGATAAGTGATAGGTATCCAGAGTTGAATCTAAAATAGCTTTGGTAGATGTCATCTTGCAGTGGGTGTAGGCAACGTCTCAAATGTTTGTCCACAAAACTGTCTCAGATTTTGGTAATCTTGTTAATTTAAAGAGTTGAATTAGGCTAATAAACTGATAATTAGTGTAACTTTTGAATTAAAAGATTTATTACATGATTTTTACATTCAACCCTTAATTTACATTGAGGAAAAAATACCACTTTGAGCAATGCATGAATTATTAGTTTACACTGTACTGTGATTGACCTTAAATTCTGAATATTTTTATTTGAGTGTACAAAATAAGTTTAAGTTTCTGATTAAGATATTTAGAAGTTAATTTTACAAGCTTTCAAATATATATATATACTTTAATTATGCTATGTTTGATAACCATGCAATAGTCCACCTCAGTGGCTCTACAACAAGCACACGCATCTGACGGGGTGAGGTTAGTCTTTTCCTTCCAAGTGCATGTCTCTTTAGTAAAAAAAAAAAAAAATTAAATTACCGTACTCTATTTCCGCTGTTTAATCAAAATTATCTTCTTTTGAGCAAACTTGAATCTCCATTATCAAAAAGGATGTTTTGTGACAATTTTGATTGACGTTGGAAATTTGGTTCAGGAGAAAAAGTCGAAAATGTGAAACATTAACAGACAATAGACGGAATGTTAATCAGAAAAGCACAATCGAGCCTTTGGCTCAGGAGAGCTAAAACAAAGCTATAGAGAAATGGATCAAGCCCCCCTCATCCCCCCCCCCCAAAAAAAAAACCCCACTAAAGAACATGCACTTTTAGACATTCGTCTTGCTTAAATTTGGATAGTATAAGAGAGACTTGAAATTTATAAGCGAATATTGCATCATACAGTCATAATATAAGCCAAAGGGATTACCAATATTTTTCATAATATTCCATGTCTTTTAACATATTTACAAGAATGTCAAGTAAAACTTCCCCTCGCAGCTTGCCGAAAAAACTAATAATTGAAGACGAAAACGTTTATTTTCAATGCACGAAAAACATTGTTTGTTTAAATAGTTATAAGCTCTACACTCAGTTGCGTAGCTACCATGTACATGTATGCTTGCATGCCAAAGCATCCACAATATTTTTTTTTAAATGTTAAATTTTAAAAGACACAAAGTTCTTTGATGAAAGAATATAATTATAACAGAAATAAGATATCTTTAAAAATGCTAATTTCAGCAATTTTTTAATCTTATTTTAATGAGCGCATTTAGACAGACATAGAAAAACACATATTACACGAAATACGCCGTCCTGAAACCACGCGCCTATAGCTACACCGGCAAGCAACAATATTGCTGTTGAGTCCAATTTTCCTCGGGTTCAAAATTCTGAATATGTTGCCATGAAACTAGCAAAACAATATGGCTGACGAAGTCCCTGTCATTTCTCGATAAAGGTAAATAATATTGATTGCAGTTGGCTTGAAAAATAATATAGCATTTTAAAAAAATAGATAGTAGCAGGGATATTCCCGTGAAAATCAAAATATTCCAGAATATTTTCGGATCACGTTGGACACATGGACTTGCAAAGTAGCTCACAGTCACACAAGTTCCTGGGCTGACTTACCTATGTGAATCCATACTTTTCAAAATGTTATGTCCTTTGTTTCTGTCTTTGGGGAAAGTCTCATAGAACTCTCACATTAACCTTTATAACTCACAGGTCTGTATTACTTTTTAATTTTTACTTTATATAAGTTGTACCTTGTATTTTGATTGTTCCAGATATTGGGCTACACATACATTGAAAGAAAAAAAAAACTAGTGAATTTATCGTAGCACTCCCAAATGTTTGGTATCAACATTGTTTCTTTCCTCTTTTGAGTTCTGACCTTTGGGTTGGTTCTGCAAAAGGACACAACTGAATTTACTTTGTGCAAAGTGGGGGAATGAACTATAGACGAATTTCACATTCTTAAGAGTTATCTCCCGTTGTCAGGGTAACACTCATTTTTGCCACTATATCCTTTGTAACTTACCTGTAAATATTTTCAGCCCCTTCAAACGGAATTTGACAATTTTGACCCATTCCTGAATTGCCTTAGTATGGGGCAACATGAAAAACATAATGAACACGAATTTAATTTGCGAGATATTGTCCCCAAAATTTGGTAATATTCTAGAGGGAAAACAGTGTCTTTCACCAGTTGACCCCAGATTGACCCCGCAAAGGGAAATGACTTTTGTAAATGTGAAATTCGTCTATTCTTCCCATTGTGTGATAATTAAAACTTGCAGCTAACAAGAGCTTATGAGTTAACAGATAAAAGAAAAAGATTGTTATGGATAAGTTATGATAAAGTCTAAAATTTAAATGTAACACATTCTTATTTAAAAAGAACATACATGTAGGGTCTGTAAGGCAAAACAAAATTAATCCTCACCAAAAATTTCAAAAATCAATGCAACATGCAGTTTCCTTTCTTTTTTTTTTTCTTTGCAGGTGTTATCCCTTTTTTCTTGTCAGCTGATCAACAAGATGATTATATCAACTGATTCTTACTTTATTATCTTTTGTTAATTACTAATATTACCAGACATTGCTTTATCCTATCACTTACATTAATTATAATATGTTCAACTTTCAAATGCTATTGGACAATTTTGATCTATTCCTGTATTGCCATAGTATAAGGCAACATAATGAACATAGTCATACAGATTTCATTTGTAAAACATTGCCCCATAAAGTTAATAATACTAGTATTATAGACGTAAAACAGTAGGTTAATCTGGTTGACCCCAGACTGACCCTGCAAAGGGAAATAACTTTTGTAAATGTGAGTCATTTATGCAAGAGTTTATTGGGTAACAGAAACTGTATAATCCCAACACTTCATCGAAAAAAGCTAATTTTAGCTCACCTGGCCCGAAGGGCCAAGTGTACTTATGCCATCATTTGGAGTCCATTGTCATCGATCGTCATCGTAAACTTTTTCAAAAATCTTCTCCACTGAAACTACTAGGGTGATTTTTCTAAAACTTTATAGAAATAGTATTGGGCATTTTTCCTACAAATGATTCACTTTCATTTTGATCCAATCAAAAACAAGGTCTCTTTTACTATAATTTAAAAAAGGGGTTATATGCAGTTTTTTTTTGCTTATTGGTCAGACATTAATGCAGATAGGCAAAACCTTAAATTCAGATATAAAATGATCAGGATCATGGCAAGATCTAGCTACTTAGAAAGTTTCATTAAATTCTGTGCAACCATATTGAAATTATGTCCCCTTAAATGTCAAATTCTCCTGTCTTATAAATGATGATTGTGACCTAAGCAAACCATTTTATACGATATACAGTAATTTTTTTATCCAATCAAATACTGCGTCAAAACCAGAATTGAATTATTTATCAATAATTGTTAGTTAACACTAAAAACACTAACCCTCCTCTCTCTTTTATTCTTTCTCTCTCAGGAATTTTAATTGGTTACTTTGTTAGTAAAAAGATCATCTATAAAAAAAAAAGACTATTTATCTATGAAATTCATATCACTGAGTTAGTAAAAGTTAACTTTTAAAATGAATATATCTATTTACAGCTACTAGGTGTGATTTCTTTTCTGGAAAATGAAGATGGATCACAGAATGCTAAACCCTGCTGCTGAAATAGAAAAATTCTCAAAACTTGGAACACAAGATCTGCAAAACAACCATCTAGAAAGGGCTCTGGAATCATTCAAGTATGCATACAAACGCTCAAAAGAACTAGATGATGACAGTTACACTGAAAGAGCCTGTGCATTTAATTTAGGCGCAGTGTACATTGCTCTTGGAGATGGGAAGAAAGGGATTGAAATCCTTAATAAAGCATTGCCACCAGATAATGCCAGGGAAGGGAGGTCTAATGGGGACCTTTTCTTTAACTTGGGGCTAGGGCATGAGATGACAGGGAATACTGAGGAAGCAGTAAGAAGTTATAAAAAGGCTTTTGAGGAATACAAAATAGAAAGGGATAATGTCCAAATGGAGGCAGAAACACTGGAGAAATTAGGTCAGCTGTATCTAAAAACTAGAAACAAATTTACCATGGAAACTTTTGATCAGTTGGCCCAGACCTATGAAATTTTGAACAATCCATCTAAGCAGTTATGGGCATTGACTGAAAAGGCCAATCAACAGTTTGCCAATGCACTGGCTGAAGAATCTGAGAAAACAGCAGAAGAGTGTCTAAAACTGGCAGAAAAATGTGGTCCCTCTGTCAATCTAGGTTAGTTTATTATTGCCCTAATTGCCTTTATTTCCTTGATGATGTATGTTTTACTAATAGAAAATATGATTTACACGGATGTTTTACTAATGAATTGTGTGTAAGTACATCTCACATCATGAATCAAAATGCTGTCACTGCTATTTACCTTTATCCCCCCTCCTCCCAACAGCTTTATCCAATTCAAATGATTTTTTAAAAGTAGTGATGTCCATTTTACATTCTAGGCACCATCTACAATGACTTAGGACTGATATTTACGCAGAGACAGAAATATGATAAGGCAGTTTCGTGTTTTGAGTTGGCATTGCCGATGGTTGAGGGCCCAGAAGGGGATGAAAAGCAGATGGCAGTGCTTCTCCAGAACCTTGGGGCTACGTACAACTTCTTGGGAAACTACCAGAAAGCTGTAGAGTACCATGAGAAGGCTGGGGATATGTATGGTATGTAGGGGGTATAAATCTTTATGTAATGATCACTATTTTTTTTAATTCCTTACATTTATTGGCAAAATATCAGTCAGACATTAATTAGATATATATTGCAGTTTTCAATTATTCTTAATTGTAAGATTTTATTCTTGGAAGGAAAAAGGAGCATCATGTCTGCATTATGACAAATTTTGGCAAAGAAACATGAAAAATTAATATCCACGCAATCTTGCTTGTGTTTGTTGAAATGTTGACTTATTTATGTAAAATAGTATGTATTCCTGAAACTTAGTATAACTTTGTGAAACTTAGTGTAGATGTATACATTGCATAGGCCATGATGTTTGATTATTCCAACTCTGAAGGTATTATTCATGCTTTTGTTGTATTTGTTGTTGTAGCTCGATTACGAAACAGAAATAGCCAAGGACAGTGTTTTGCCAATATGGCTTTTGCTTACAGTCAGCTTGGTGATATAACCAATGCAGGAGAGGCCTTTTTACATGCCCTACAAGCAGCAAAAGATTCGGGTAACTAAATAATTATCTCACATATTATTCATTTTAGAGGTAAAGGCAAAAGCTTTATTTATGATTTCTTTGATCTGCAGATTTAGAACTGTCTTGAAACGGTTAAATATATTTATACATTACATGAAAGGCATTTGAAAATTTCCGATAACTGTTTTATTATATGTTAACCATTAAAGAAAATAAATACCTTTTTTTACATCATTGAAAATATCAGGAAAATATGCATGTATTAATTGTGATATCACCAAGTATTTTTTTTTGTGTACAAACCCAAATCTGTTTGTTCTGTGTACTGTAAAACAGTTTTTTGTTGTTGTTTTTTTTTTAAATCAAATAATGGTTTTAGTATTAGGATTTTTTAAACAAAATTTTCCAACAAATCTTTGCACAGACTTACAATATTGGTTAATATTATGCCTGTGATTGGTTTTGTAAATCAGCAATTTAATATTCCTTTTGGTAGTTCGGGTCAGTTCCAGTTTTATGGCTTGGTAACTTTTTGTTGGCTATTATACCTGTAGTCACAATTTGCAAACGTGCAAACTTTAGTGAGATTATAACTATACAGATGTCATTTTGTTTTAGTGAGAATAAATTCATGTCCAATCAAAAAGATTTTTTATTACCCCTTTTAAATCACAATTTGGTTCAGGTGAAAGAAAGTTTAAACTGCACATATTATTTTAACTGATTAGCAATTTGCATGCTAGGCTTTGTTTTGTTTGTGTAATGTATGTTTTCATTTAAATGAAAAATTCATAATTCATAAAAAGCTTATTATAACCATTTCTCAAAACAATGTAACAGGTGACAAGAGAACACAGTGGCAGGTAAGTGAGGGACTTGGAGCTGTGGCTTTTAATCAGAATAATATCAAGAAAGCAGTGGAGTACTTCCAGAAAGCTCTGACCCTGGTGGCATCATCAGAACCCTCCAATACGGTGGCTCAGAATAGGATTGTAGCTAAGATAACGCTGGCCCTACAGACACAGGTCCAGAAGGAGAGTGCACCAGCTGTAAAGGTGAGCCAAGAAGTCCTTATGGTTTACATAGTTCAAGAGAAGAGTGTGGTTTTTAGCTCACCTGAGCTCAAGTAACTTTTTTGATCACCTGTTGTCCGACGTCCGTCCGTCTGTAAACTTTTTTCAACTTCTCAAGAACCATGGGGTCAATTTTAACCAAAGTTGGTACAAAGGATCCCTGGGTAAAGAGGTTTCTAATTTGATAAAATGAAGGGTCAAACTCCCTTCCGAGGGGAGATAATCAAGAAAAGGCAAAATTAGGGTGGGGTCATTAAAAAATCTTCTCAAGAACCACTGGGCCAGAAAGACTGAAACTTATGTGAAAGCTTCCTGAGGTAGCGTAGATCAATTTATTTCCCCTGGGGTAGGGTGGGGTCACAATAGGGAATCAAAGTTTTGAAATTGAAATAATAGGAAAAATCTTTAAAAATCTTCTTCTCAAGAACCAATGGACCAGATAAGCTGAAACTTATGTGAAATCTTACTAACTAAAGGTAGTGTAGATTGTAAATTGAACAGATCATGTTCCCCGGAGATAGGATGGGGCCATGATAGTGGATCCAAGTTTTACATTGAAATATATAGGACAAATCTTCAAAAATCTTCTCAGAAACCATTGGACCAGAAAAGGTGAAACTTATGTGAAAATTTCCTGAGGTAGTGTAGATTGTAAATTGTTCAGATCATGGTCCCTTGGGATAGGGTGGGGCCACAATAGTGAATCAAAGTTTTACATTTAAATATATATAGGAAAAATCTTTACAAATCTTCTCAGGAACCCACTGGACCAGAAAAAATGAAACTTAGCTGAAAGCCTCCTGAGGTAGTGTAGATTTTAAATTCTTCAGATCATAGTCCCCGGAATTAGTGTGGGACCAGTATAGGATTATATAGGGAAAAATCTTTAAAACTCCACGTCTCAAGAAAATCAAAGCCATCATAAATCATATTAATGTGGAAGCATTCACAGATGGTGTAGATTCAAGCATGTTGAGATCTTGAACCCCAGGGGTAGGACTGGACCACAATAGATGATCATAGTTTTATTTAAAGGAATTTATAGGAAAAGATTTTAAATACCTTCTTCTCAAGAACAGCAAAGCCATGATTAATCTTATTTATATGGAAGCATCCTCTGGTAGTGTTGATTCAATTTCGTTCAAATCATGACCTTGAATATAGGGTGGGGCCACAAAAGGATATCAAAATTTTACATAGGAATACATGTATATTGGGGGGGGGGGGATCTGTTGAAGAACAGCAGTGACTCTTGTGAGCCTTGTGGCCCATAGGCCTCTTGTATTGCTAGTATTTGATATACATGTAATTAATTTTAACTCTTCAACCTATAAATCTGTCAGATGGAGAGATGAAGTTCATCTCTATTTAAGTGATAAAATCAAATTTTTGTAATGGTAAATTGACATAGAATTTTAAAATCATCTTCTATTAGTAATTTAATTAAGATATAACCCTGGCATGTGCAATACTTTTTAAAACTTGAAAGAATAACAGTTGATTTAGCTGGGATATGTAAGGACTTGCATTTGCACTTATGAATTCTTCACATAGTAAGTGTTAAACACTTACAATGAGATCTTTTTAAAGGGTACAAATGTTAAAAATGGACCCAGTACATGTAAAGATTTTTTAAATTTTTGTAATAGATGTAGATTATTTTTAAAGGAAAACCGCACTAAGAATGTGGTTGGCAGAACACCAGTCCGAGAACCTTTAATAAAGAAAGAGGTGGCCACCCCAGTACAGGCCAGTTCCACTCCTGTTGGATCCCCCCGCAGGCATGAAAGGTAATTTTTTATTAACATAATTTGAAGAAACTTTCTGCATGCTTTACTATGATAATTATTTTATTAAAGTTGCTTCACTTCTTCATTAATATCAAACTAGAGCTAGTGATCTACACATGTACATATACTAATTACTGATTAGTAATTACTGAAGATTATTTACCATTAATGCCTATAGTTGTCAACTAGTATTAAAAGGTTGGATATATATATACATTTCTTTTCTGTCCTTTTCACTACTACACGTATAAGTTTATTTTCATTCTTAACTAGAAAATTTAAAACAAAAAAGTATCATTCTTCACAAATCTCTTTATAATGACTATATGTATGCATAGAAATATAAATTTGTAATTTTTTTCTCATTTTAGTATAAATTTTGTAATTAGTAGTGTTGAATGCTCTTGATTAGCTATCTGAAGTTAACTGCAGTTATGAACAGTATCCTCTGTGCTATAAAGAAGTACTAAGTAACCCAAAGCAAACGTTTGTTTCGGGGAGGGGGGGGGGGGGCAATGAAAATGAATCAATGAAAGACCCCTCAAATGAAAGTTCATCATATTCCCTCTCAATGGTGACAATCTCAACATGGCATGTCAGATTTGTTTTCGTGCAAAATGCATGTTGCAAGAACATCTGAAATTAAAGGAAAAAGTATGGAGTTTCCAAATTTCTGACAGGGTATGCATGCATACACCGAACAATTCAATCTCTTTCATTTGAAAGTTATCTCAAAACAGTGCATCAAGAATGGTTTTCAAAGTGAAAATTTCTCTTCTTTCATATATATTAGGTATCTTTAGATCAGATGAACCATTTATTTTATATGCATGAAGTTAGGAACTTCTTTAATTTTTGTGGACTACTTGTGGATTACTTCCCCAGTTGATTCTTAAAATAATTAAATAGGTGTCCCCCACAAAAAAACCTATCCACTTTCCTTATCTTTGGTACAGCTGACTAAATGGTAGCACAAAAGTTTAAAAATGCTACAGGTACATATATGTATTTGGAGGACTTAAGTTATACAGGATGTAGCTTTAATAATTAAGATAGAAAACCGTTTTCCATAAACTAAAGTGTAATATTTAAGATCCTGATATTCATGGTTTGCTTTGTGATTTTTTAATCATCTAACAAGCACATTCATTTTTCAGATTTAGCACACCACAGAAGTAAGACAATGGCTTAATTAATATTATTCACCAGGTTTTTGTGGCTGAATTCACCTTGTTTACTTCATTCAGTTTTGACCACGCTTTATTTAATTTATTAGAACTGTTGATTAGAATAAGTACATGTAAAAGAAAAAAAATGAGTGTTCAAAAATAAAAAAGAAGATGTTGTTTGCCACACATATTAACATTATCATTATTTTGTTTGAGTCTGGTTTTTTAGTTAACCCTCAAACACCTTTTTTAAATCATCATCCATTATTTTATCTTAAGCCTACCTGAGTCACTTGTCTTTCCTATTGTTTTTCACCTTTTCAGGCTGTCAAGTAGGCGACTTTTGAATAAAAAATATAGGAAAATTGGGGAGGGGGAAAAATAGAAACCATATACATGTATAACAATGTTAGGTGTACACTGATATGTTTATTTAATCAATAAAATGTCTGTTAAACATGTATGGGATAAAAACAGCTAGTTGCAAATGACAGAAAAAAATAATATTAACCCATATGTTATTCATGTAGATTGTCAAGATTATTCAATCTTAATGCACCTCCACCCCACAGCTGGAAGGGATCTTGTCACCTACAAAGGGGTTCAAATTAATGTTTGCAAAGCCATATGAAGAAAAAAAATTAAGATTTTTGCTTTTCTGAATTATTTGGAGCTAAAAATCGTAAAATTAATTTGAAGTAATTATTATGCAGTACACAAATAAGTCAAAGAATTCAGTTCTTTGCACTGTGTTATAAACATATCCCCTAAAACATGGAGTTCAAAATGCCAAATTATGGAAATATTCTCATGTACGATAGTGTATAAATACAAATCTGTCTGAATCATTGCATACCCTTTGGGTCTAATGGGGATGTATTAGGGTTCTTGAGATTTACAGAAGGGTAGTGAATGATTTCATACTATGTGGTTCAGAAAAAAAAAAACTTCAACTGTGACACAAAGGCATCTGTCATGACCCATGGACCTCTTGTTTTAAATTAAGTTTTAAAGCTTCATACCATCTATTAAGTTTTTGTTTCCAAGAAATATGAATAAACTCTGAATATTTTATATATAAAAAAAAAAATCTGTCTTATTTTTAACACACGTATGCATGGATTTTCAGTATAATTTCTAGTCAACCGGTCAGTTGTTTTTAGTGTCATCTGCATTGTAGATGAAATACATTTATAGGTTTCTTTTCATCTTACATGTACTATTAGTCTGTCTGACATCAGTAATGTGTTTTAATTGAAACACGTACATCATGTAGTTAATGAATCTTCTTTATAGTCACACTTCTAGTTAATATTTTTACTTTTAATAGATGCAATATTGTACCATTTTATTTTGAAATCATATCCCTTAGCTAGGCCCCATAATTTCTGTTCAATTCCAATTCTTTTATTTGCAGCTTCTATTCCCTCAATTCTAAAATGTACCTAATATTTTGTTTGAAAATCTTAATACATGTATTTCTATACAGTGATGAAGTAAAAAGAGAAGCCTACAGGTTTGTCATGCTTGCATGCAGATTTGAATGAAAAGTAACCAATTCCTAATTATTGAATAACTTATGTAGACTGCAAGGTGCATGTATTAGAAATTTTGAAGTAAAAAAACCTATATTGAGATAATGAGAATAACACAGTTTTGACATAATATTTTCTAAATAATGAAAATTATGAATTTAATATGCTATTTATGATTATGACTAAAATATCCAGAAAAAACTATCAAAATGCTACTCCTCCTACAGTTTTGGTCTGATTTCAGTATAACTTGGCACACAAGTAAACTACACTAAGATACATAATTCTGTGTATCAGTTTTTGATTTCGATGAACGGTGTTGCCAGGGTTACTAAAAATAGAAATTTTGTTGAAATACTTACAAAACGCTACTCCTCCTACAGTTTCGATCTGATTTCAGTATAACTTGGCACTCAAATAGACTACACTTAGGTACATAATTCTGTACCGGGGAATATTGATTTTTGATTTTGATGAAGTGTTGCCATGGTTACTAAAAATAAAAATTTCTATGAAATACTTTCAAAAGGCTACACCTCCTACAGTTTTGGTCTGATTTTAATATAACTTGGCACACAAGTAGACTACACTAAGATACATAATTCTGTTTATTGATTTTGGATTTCTATGAAAGGTGTTGCCATGGCTATAAAAACAGAAATTGTTGTGAAATTCCTTCAAAACACTTCTCTACAGTTTGGTTTGATTTTAATATAACTTGGCATGCAAGTAGACTACACTGAGATACATAATTGTCTTTATTTTGATGAATGCTTTTGCCATGGTCACTAAAATCGAAATTTCTGTAAAATTCTTTTTAAAAGCTACCCCTTCTACAGTTTTATTCTGATTGCAATAAATTTTGCCACCAAAAAAAACTAATCCAAGGATCATTATTCTATTTATTGCTGTTGCATAGTTTCAAGTGTGCAACTTTTCTCTTCCTTTGTTATAAATTCAAACCAGTCGAGCTACATTCTCGTCAGAGACTTCTGGTTGTTATTCAATCAATTAACTTCTAAGTTGTTAGATCCTGTTTTTAAAGCTTGGATCTATAAGAAAGATTTCTTAGTATGTGAGCTTTATTGGATCAATTATACAATATTTCAAATACTTTTGCCCACTTTAAACACAATTAATGTAAACAATAAAATGTCTTTCTTTAATTGCTGCTTTATATGGAGATTAATGGTTACAATTAAAACAGAAAAAAATTACATAACCTGCAGCTTACACTGCTTAATATGTATTGTTTCTATAATGGCATTTTAATTGTTAATAACCCCCCCCCCCCTTTCAAAAGAAAAATGAGACATGTTTGTGAAACACTGATGTCCCCATATGACAGCTCATGACGAAAGTTAAAGTTCCTCAAATGCAAGTCAAACTCACAGCTTAAGGTCAAGAGATAAAAAATAATGGTACCCAAAGAAAGATCTTGTCACAAGGTATACATCTGTGAAACTGGAGAGCCCTCAGTACCAACCATTCAAAATTTATGGCCAGGGTTAAAGTCTTTCAATACTAGGTCAAGGTCAAAGGGTAAAAATTGTTGGTACTCAAGGAATTATTTTGTCACAAGAAATATACCTTTGAAATAAGAAATCCCTAGCTCTAACTGTTCAAAAGTTGTGGACAAGGTTAAAGTTTTTTCAAAAGTGGGTAAAACTCAAAGGTCAGAGTCAAAGGGTCAAAATTGTTTGATACCCAAGGAAAGGTCTTGTCACAAGGAATACACATATGTACAATAAAAGCCCTAGTTCCAACTATTCAAAAGTTATGGCCAAGGTTAAGTTTTTAGCTCACCTGAGCCGAAGGCTCAAGTGAGCTTTTCTGATCACATTTTGTCCGTCGTCCGTCCGTCCGTCTGTCCGTCTGTCTGTCCGTCTGTCTGTCTGTCTGTCCGTCCGTCTGTAAACTTTTCACATTTTTGACTTCTTCTCAAGAAACACTGGGCCAATTTTGACCAAACTTGGTACAAAGCATCCTTGGGTGAAGGGAAATTTAAATTGTTAAAATGAAGGGCCAAGTCCCCTCACAAGGGGAGATAATCAAGAGAAGACAAAAATAGGGTGGGGTCATTAAAAAATCTTCTTCTCAAGAACCACAGGGCCAGTAAAGCTGAAACTTATATGGAAGCATCCTGGGGTAGTGTAGATTCTAAATTGTTCAAATCATGACCCCCGGGGGTAGGGCGGGGCCACAATGTGGAATCAATGTTTTACATAGAAATATATAGGAAAAATCTTTAAAAATCTTCTTCTCAAGAACCACAGAGCCAGAAAAGCCGAAACTTATGTGGAAGCATCCTGGGGTAGTGTAGATTTTAAATTGTTCAAATCATGACCCCCGGGGGTAGGGCGGGGCCACAAGAGGGAATCCAAGTTTTACATTGAAATATATAGGAAAAATCTTTAAAAATCTTCTTCTCAAGAACCACTTAGCCAGAAAAGCTTAAACTTATGTGGAAGCATCCTGGGATAGTGTAAATTCTAAATTGTTCAAATCATGACCCCCGGGGATAGGGCGGGGCCACAATAGGGAATCCAAGTTTTACATTGAAATATATAGGAAAAATCTTTAAAAATCTTCTTCTCAAGAACCACTGAGCCAGAAAAGCTGAAACTTATGTGGAAGCATCCTGGGATAGTGTAAATTCTAAATTGTTCAAATCAGGACCCCCGGGGGTAGGGCAGGGCCACAATAGGAAATCCAAGTTTTGCATTGAAATATTTAGGAAAAATCTTTAAAAATCTTCTTCTCAAGAACCACTGAGCTCTTCTCAAGAACCACTGAGCCAGAAAAGCTGAAGCTTATGTGGAAGCATCCTGGGATAGTGTAGATTCTAAATTGTTAAAATCATGACCCCCGGGGATAGGGCGGGGCCACAATAGGGAATACAAGTTTTACATTGAAATATATAGGAAAAATCTTTAAAAATCTTCTTCTCAAGAACCACTGAGCCAAAAAAGCTGAAACTTATGTGGAAGCATCCTGGGATAGTGTAGATTCTAAATTGTTAAAATCATGACCCCGGGGGTAGGGTGGGGCCACAATAGGGAAACATTGAAATATATAGGAAAAATCTTTAAAAATCTTCTCAAGAACCACTGGACCAGAAAAACTGAAACTTATGTGGAAGCATCCTGGGGTAGTGTAGATTCTAAATTGTTAAAATCATGACCCCCGGGGGTAGGGCGGGGCCACAATAGGTATTACAAGGGGGGAAGTCTGGTAATGAACAGCATGGCCAAAGTTACTCAGGTGAGCGATGTGGCCCATGGGCCTCTTGTTTTTTTTAAGTGGGTCAAACTCCAAGGTCAAGATCAAAAGGTCAAAATATTTGTATCCAAGGGACGATCTTGCACAAGGAATACACAAGTGAAGTATGAAAGCCGTAGCACCAATCATTCAAAAGTTATGGCTCAGATTAATGTTTGGTAAAATTTTGCAAAAGTGGGTCAAACTGGAAGGTCAAAGAGGTCAAATATGTTAGTACCAAAAGAAAGGTCTTGTCAGAAAGAATAAACCTGTGAAATATGAAAACCATGTGATAGCTCCAAAAGTTAAGGGCAAGGTTAAAGTTTTTACAGACAAATAGACAGACAGATGGACAGGGCAAAATCTATATGGTGGCTCATGGCTGATCATGAGCTCTTTTCTTTTTACGATATTGTGTGTATTTAAATATCACTTAATCACATACTGAATAATCACATGTAAAGTACATTGTATATTTGAATGCCTTTTAGGGACAAGGGAGTACCCTATATGTGCGACTGTTTTTATTATATGAATTGTTAGTTGTTTTTCTTTTAATGAATTATTTTTTACTCAGTGTTGATGGGCTAGCTAGTCCTGGAGTTCAAACATATTTGTATTTTTGAGTGTACATGCTCTAATAAAATAAGAAGAATCATATGATAATATGCTGTATTAGGTGAACAACATGCCTATTACATACATGTATAATCAATTAAATTTTAACTTTTAATTGACTTACTATGCTAATTAATGTATTATTCATTATACATTGATCTACTAAATTGTATTTTATCCATATTTTGAAAAGCAAATCAAAACGTGTCAGCTATGGGTAAATATCAATCAGAAAGTACATTCTGTCACAGCAGACAAAGTTGTGTCCAATAATTCTTTAAAATACCGTGGAATCATTATGTTACATATTGGTTCACTGTTTTCATGGGTTTTACAAATTGAGCCATATATGGAATTTATAACTTAAATGATTATTGATTTATAATAGCTTATATTATAATCTAGAATGATGAGACTTTATGCCTATGAAATTATGTCACCAAATTTTTTTCATTTTCACCAATCAAAAAAAAAACAACAAACAAACAAACAAAAAAAAAAAAACAAAAACAAAAACAAAAAACGCTTGGCCCCTCTTGAGTTAAAATGATTCCACGGGACAATGAAAATCTTTCAAGTTCCCATGTTAGTGAATACTGAACACCATTACTGTGACATGAGCTTTCTTACATTACATGAAGTGGTGGAATTTTTAGAGCTATGGATGTTGCTTATTTTTAGATAGTATACCTGGAGTCTCCATTTAAGCATGCCAGAGATTTTTGAACTTTAAGTATTGAAATAAATTTTAGTAAATGTTTCTAGAAGGCTTACACCGATACATATAGCTGGTTATTTTGGCAGAGATAAATTTTTGGCCTATGTTGGCAATTTAAAGATTCACCTAAATAAAATTGTTAAGATGAAGTACTTTTGTATATTACTGGTTTGCAAGTATGATCAAAAAAGTAACTTGTGGTTTGTTGATGAATAATGTTCATACACTTGTAAATACATGTATTAGAAGAAAGCCTTGCATGTTTCTATCATACTAAAGTACACAATTACAATACATTCTGTATATATGTACATCTGCCAAATCTAACTGTATACCTTGTAGACCCAAATATGCCAAATTTTCTGACCTGCCAAAAAAAAAATGGCTATACAGTAGTATGCACCATCCAATCTGTTTGTTTTAATTACAGCAAATCTAATGAAAAACCTTCCAAATGAAAAAAAAATTCCAAATGCAATGGAAATATCTAATAATTCTACCTTTCCCTATATGGCATTTTTAAAAATTTTTGCAGAAGTCCTTTTTCTATGAATAGCTTGATACAGCAAGTTAGAGAATAAAGAAATTAATCAATTGCTGTTTTGGAATGAATAAAATACACGTACTGTAAACATACTAAATCAGTGCATTCAAAATTAAGCTTCCTCATCAGTTGATTAGCATATTCATGAATTAGCAGATAAGCATTACCATAAATTAGCAGATTAGTATAATCATAAATCAAAGCATTTTGGGCCAGTTAAGATTCTGTATGTATTTGTTATATGTTTGGGTGTGGACAAGAAACTGCTTAAAAGACACTAAAATATGATTAAATACTGATATGTTTACCCGGTACATATATGTAGCTATAACAGAACTTTTGAAGTAAAACCAGTTATGTACCAGTGCTTGTTACTTTAATTTTTTAAATTTTATTTATTTATTTATTTAATTTTGTTATTGTTGCTAAGTATAGAATTTTTTTGTGGCTTGTAATGCATACCAGTATGATCTTAAAACTTTTTAAAAATATATTACCTGTTTTTTAAATTTCTTTTCATAACTCTGAAATTCATTGTGAATGTTTAGATAATATGTTTTTAACTACAAATTAAATTTTAGCATTAAAGTAAGAATATATATATCCTAATAAGAAAATGACTTTCTTTGACAGATTTGTACCAGTTGGCAGGAAAGGTTCATCCCTGAGATATGAAAAAGTCGCCAGAGGTCTCAGCAAGGACACCATTATAACAGAAAGTATTCGATCCAGTACACGGAACTCAATGATAGATATAGAATCTGAGGAGGAGGAGTCGTCAGGGGATTCTGAGGAGGAGGAAGAAGAGGACAACTCTGATATTGACAAGACCATTCACAAGACAGAAATGGCAGAAACAATCCAGGGAAGGGCCAGTAGAAGCAACACTGGGAGGTCAAGGTCAAATCTTTATTTTTACCTCCAAATTTGGAGACTTTATACCTATCAGCTTTATAGATTTTGTACCAATAAAATGCCTTACTTTAAGTACCAGCTTTACTGTAAGTTTGATTAGCCATACTTTGCAAGCTTTGCAGGTGCCCTATAAAAATCACTTTGCCATTCTCTCTGTCTATCTGTCCATCTGTCATTCCATTCATCTTCAAGTTTCAGTTCTGTCCTGATAACTTTTTGAATGATTGTTTTCTTATGTTCAAAGTTATATGCTGTTTCAGTGGGCAGTATGACACATTTTGATAAGCTGGTTCTGTACATCATCTGGTGGTTTTTGTTTTGAAGTAAATGTCAATTTTTGGTTATATTTGTACTCACCGAAACCTGGCACTTATAAAAAAAATTATACTTTATTAATTTTGGTACAGATACAAAGTATTTTAATTATACTTTAAAGGAATTTTACAAAAAAGTGTAAAATTTAAGGTATGACTTTTTATTGTTGCTTTATATAAAACAAGGATGAATACAATAATTTCTTACAAGTAGTTGAATTATAACATCATTCATTTTATTAAGGAAATATCTTTGAATTTAATTCATAATTGCAGTAGTTGTTACACATTCTTTTTATATCTTTAAAATTTCCATGTAATTTTTTTTCTTTATCAAGGTATTACATTCTCATCCCTGAACTCTACCCTTAGATGCATATTCCTCCAGGGGGGCCCTTGCTGTTTTGTTGATTTTAGTAACTTCTTTATTATATGGAATAAAATGTATTTAAATATTTGTATTGATTATTTTAGTGTGATGAATACAAATAGAAGACAGAGTACAAAGATGGCCCAAATACAAGGTCTTCACAACGATTCATCTGATTCATCATCATCAGACTCCTCATCTGAATCAGAGGAAGACACAGCAAGAAATGATGAAGAAGACGATGAAAAAGCTGTTAAGGAGGCCTTGAAGAAACAGTTAGATAGCCATGGTAGGTTGCTTATAGAATATGCTGATAATTATTTGCTGCCATAATATTGGTGAGACATAATAGTTATGAATGAATATGCCAAACAAAGTACAAATGTAGCGGGATTCCTGGAATTGCCATGTCCATCTGTCTGTCTGTCTATAAATTGACATTTTTTCTGCAGATTATCTTGGAATCAAAACTCAGTTTTTATTCCAATTTTTATAGAAATAATGCATACATGTGCACTTGGTATTTTTGGATTATTTTGTTGAAATTTAAATTTTTTTTAAATTTTATTATATGTAACTTTTGTGACAGGAATAAAAAGAGGGATATTCTTGTCTGGACAGACTTTGAAATGGAAAATCTTAAGAGCTCATACACATTACAAAAGTAGCTTATGACCAGATGTGTGTCTTGACCCTGTATCAAGGTCATTTTAGACAATGTCAAGGTCTTGAGTACAAAAGTATGGAATTATTGTTAAATAATTCCAATACCAATCATATAGCCAGTATATTGGTACTTAAAAACAAATAGCAATGCAATATTTCTTTGTCAAAGAACTGCAATACACCAAAATATTAGCATCATTGCATAGGTCAACATATGGGGGTATGAAATCCTATTGGGACAGTTCTAGTTTACATACTGTAAAATCACATATTTTCGTGGGGTAAAATTTTCTAGGTTTGAAAAAAATATTGGTTTTTGGGGATTTGATTTCATGGTTGGAGAAGTGTTGAGTAGTAATGGATATGAAATTATACATTTAGTGGTGGTCATGAATTCATGGGTCATTCCATACCTCGAAAACAATGAAAATTAAACCCCAGCGAAAATTATTATGCTTCCTGTAAGTTTGTTTCTATATAATCAGTACCCAACTATTTTCACATAGTGTTCTAAGGATTAATATAGTTTAAGCATATTATGCCGAAATAGTGCACGGCTTCTTTTTCTGAAGAAAATCCGACAGCGCCAACGCTGGGGATCAAACTCGCGACCCCGAGATTGTCAGTCCGACGTGCTACCGATTTAGCCACAGACCCTGTTATCTAAAACACAGTTGTTTAATATATATAAACTTAGCTTCAAATATTTTACACTTAAAGAAAAAAAATAAACAAAATAATTTTTCTGAAATAGTTTCTTGAAATTTTCTTCCCTTCACGCAACTAAAATTCTCTGAAACTATCTGTACATTATACCTAAATGCATGAAACATTCAAAATTAAAGAAAATATTATGACGTACATGTAGCACTATGTGACATCATAATAGGGGTGTACTAACATGAATTTAAGAGGTGATGAAACATTTGAAATGGAGAAAATATTGTCGTTTTTATAAAACAGTCAGCATAATAATAACAATAGTGTTGTACTTTGCATTCACTATGCCTAAATGGAAGTCAGGGCTTGACACATAGTGCAATCGCCTCCGGCTCATGCACCATGTGTCAAACCATTTATTACAAACTATTTAGGCATAGTGGATGCAATGTACAACACCATTATATAATTAGTGATTTCACAGTATTTGGGCAATATTTAAGCTTAAAAAAATTTTAAAGTTGATTTTCTCCTCAATTAAGCCATGTATGAAAATACATGTATATTTTATGATGCTGGTTTTCATTCCTCTTTGATTTTTTATTTGTAGAGAGTTCAGACAGTGACTCAGATGTATCACAAAAGGTAATTAAAATACAATTAAGTTACAGATTTTATTTTTAAAAAGTCAAATACTTAATTTCATCTATAAAATCAAGTGTTATAGTCATGCATTGTTTGAGCTATTGAGGTTTGACATATTTTAGGTCAATTTCTCTTATAATAAGTTAAATTTTGTCTAATTTCAGAATACCAGAGATAAGACAAGACCAAAGCAGGCTAAAGAGGAAAGTGAAAGGTACTTAGATAATTTTGCAATTAATTGTCTTTATTACATTTTCAACAGTGAAATACTGTAATCTGTTTACTGAATAGAAGTGATATTCTGACACAGTGTGAAAGCATGGTATTCTCACAGTGTGAAAATATCAGAAGTGCGGCAAAACTTACGATTTTTGTTCCCTTCACGAAGAGTGTTTTTAAATAAATCCCTGGCCTGTTATAAGATAGAGTTAATGAGCCATCCTGACAGAGACTAATAGTTATTCTGCCAAAGTTTTTCCAAATATGTTGTTAAAAATCTATGTTTACAACGTTTTTCAATCTCGCAATCGCTTAGCTATGACGTCTCAACCACTCAACTATGACGTCACAGCCTGTGCTACAAAAAGACAGAGGGAAAGGGAAAATCTAAGAAAATGTAATAAACAGAAAATTCGATGTTTTGTAGATGAATATGGAATTTATTTCACTCGTGAGACATGATTTTTTGATATTTTCCCTCGTGCTTCTCACTTGTGAAAATATCAAAAAATCATGTTCCGCTCGTGAAATAAATTCCATATTCATCTACAAAACATTGAATATCCTCCGTTTATTAATAATTCTTAAATTCATCCACAATATAATTATATCTTTCTTGTCTAACTTGAGCCAGCTTTTCTGACAATCGCTTTGTCTGGTGTGTTTTAATTAATAAATGTTTACAATCCCTATTTTCATTTTCTTCTCCAGAATCACCGGGCCAGTTTCAACCAAATTTGCAAAAATCTTGGGTATCCCTGAGTGAAGGGAATTAAGAATGTTCAAATGAGGAAAATACAATAAAACATGTTTATAACTACAGAAGGTTTTGTTTATTATAAACATAATCTTTTTATTCTCAAGTTCACAATATATTTTAAAGCATGGGAAATGAAAATCACTTTGCTCTATTGCATCAATTCATTATTCGCTATTAATGTGTTTAACTGTATATGTAGTTGGAAAATTTTTCAAATTATCTTTTTGGTGTGTGATGTGAAATAAGCATATCAATAAAAACTGGTCGGTATACCATTCCATATTGGACAATGCTGTATTGTTAATTGTTTTTGTATGTATTGTTACAATTTAGCATCAAACACAGTCAACATATTAAGATGAAAAGGCTAAGAAGCATATACATTCAAGATATATGTGAATTTGAATTTATAATGCTTCTCTCTTTTCCTGGCAGCTCTGCAGATGAAGCTCCCCCTCTTCCAACCCAGTCCCCACCCCAAACTAAACTACTGGGAGGAACGTACGAAACACCAGAGAGGGTGCAGGACAGGAAACTTCACTATGCTGACATTGAGCATACAGGATCACCCAAGTCTGGAGGTGAGAGATTTGTCAGGCACTCTGAACATAGCTCACATCCTAATTTCTTGAGTGATCAAGCAGATAGCTCCAGTAGTTCAGAGGAGAGCGATGATGATGATGACAGTGAAGATGATCATAAGAAATCATCTGCTAGGAAAAATGAGGGCTTGGAGGCTAGTGGGACCTATCATGAAATAGAAATTGGGTCAATGCAAGGTATTATGCACTCTCAGAGACACAAGTTCCTTTATGTAACCATGTATCCTGTAGAATAGAATTGAGACATTAAAGTTAGCATTTCAAATGCTAGAAAATGTCCCATATATATACACTGTATATATCTTTTTAGCCTGTAATCATTGCTTTTCTTTGTATCTTCACTCAAGAGCCAAGAGTATCAATTAGGCTATCATGCTTTAAGTCCATTAATTACAAAGTGAAATGAATTACCTATGAACTTTCATGTTTTAGAGGAATGTCTTGGCTCTTGAGGGTATTTCAGTGAAACCCTCAATAACATAGTTAATGGCTTTTGAGGCTTTGTGAAGTAACTACTGGTAGATGTCTACTTGTTTGTATTTGTTTATCTTTCTATCTGTCGTGTGAATATATATGCTTTCAATCTTCTCCATAACTTTTAGTTGTTGTATATATATTGCCTAAAATACATGTATGTGATTTTTTTTTCTTTGTTTATTTTTTTTCATGTCTTTGACTGTAAAATATTCAGCATTTTGTTGTGATATAACTGCACAGATACATTTGTATGGTGTATGAAGTATGCAATTAACAGAGTTTGGTATCACTAATATATTTTTTCAACTGTGAGTATTAAACAGCATTCTGCTTTTCTGTTGCTTTTGAAGGTTCACTTCTGTATACAGGGAAATGTTTTGCCCCGTAATTTCACCCCTCATCATCAGAGGGTTTATCAAGAAAAATGTAGGATCATCTCTTTTAAAACAACTGGGTATGGGCGAATTTTAAATGGGGCAAAATCGTTTTCAAGTGTATAAATAGGGCATAAATGGCCCTGTATACAGTTCATGTATAAATACATGAAATTTAGTTTCTATTGATAAAAAACAATTTTATTTCATAATAATATTAAGTTTTTATTATTGCTTTTTTTCATGTTTTGAATGAGCTCTCTATAATAAATATTGTATATCATTTAATGCATTTGATTGACCAATTTATGGATAGCAAAATGCACACATTTGAGCATTAATTTTGAAGAAATATTAAAAATTTAAGATAATAGTATTTGTTTTACTCTTGTGATATCCATTATTGAAATATCATTTTAAAAATAGAGTTTTTCATTTAATGCACTTCTTAAACCAGAAATCTTGTGTGTTTGTTTGTGACTAACTCTGCTACATACCTTAATACCTTCTCTTTCTATATACATCATAGTACTAGTAAATTTATATAGATGACCAGGTGGATTACTAGCAGTGCATTGTCTTATGCTATTTTCTTTAGAAAAAAAATTATAAAATACAACTAAGTATTAGTCTGTATCTTTTGTGATTTGCTTGAAAATTATTCCAATTTTTCTCACCTTGACAAAGTTGAGATGTGCTAACCCCAGCCATTGGCTTCCTAGTTTTAAGTTCTACATGCAAGGAGCAAGTCCATTGCCAAGTAACCATATTATTAGCCTAGAACAAACTTTCATGGATGATGCATCTTGAGATCAGATGAACACTATCAGACATGCTCCTTGGATCTAACCAACATTTTTGGATGAGTGACCAGGTTAAATTTATGGAGCAGGTTCATTCCCAAATAACTTTAAGCCCTATGATGACCAAACTTGCATGGATGATGCAACTAGGAAATGCACACTATTAGAACATTCATATGGAGAGAGACTTTGCCTTACTTACTAATATCATTAGTCGAGGTGAGCTTTGTAACCTTTGATAACCTATATTCTACAAAATAGCTTTTTCAACCTTGTAGGAATTGCTTGATGCAAAATTAAGTTATGAGACAATTTCTTTCATAGTTTGTTTTGCAGTTGTTGTTATAAATGTCTGTCTGCTTTAGTAAAAAAACATGATGTTGTGGAGACTGTACGCCTTGCATAGTACATATGTATGTAAAAATATATATATATACAGTGTAATAATTGATTTCTTTTTGAGATGAATGAGTCAATATTAATACAGGTCATTTGTTTAATATGTATAGTACTATAATCACTAAATAGAAAAGTTAACACATCACAGCACATGATTCTTTATTTCTACATTCTGTTTTTTTATTGCACACTGTAATAGAACATCTAGCCAATTCAGGCCCGTAGCAACGGTTTCAAAAGGGGGGGGCACAAAAAAAACTTACCAAAAAGTGGGAGAGGGGGGCAACTTCCCTAAATAATCTGACAAGCAGAATTAAAAAAAACCTAATTACCTGTCCAAATCCTGGAGTTTGCCAGAGCTCTACCTTACAGCAACAAAAAGTGGGGGGGGGGGCATCTAAAGGAAAATTTACTATAGCAAAATACTGTACTCATAAAAAGGAAAAGGTAGGGGACTAACCCCCCCCCCCCCCCCGCGCATTCTACGAGCCTGCAGTTAACTATATCATATTAATGTTGTAAAATATTTATATCAACAAAGAATATTACATTAATTTTATAATCAAAACTTACAAGGTTAATATTAATGTCTAGTTTGTGTTTTTTCTAGGTCTCGGTTGAACAATTGTTCAGTTTTGTATTCTATTCACTGTCATATTCTTTTGTTCATATTTTAAAAAAAATTATTGAAGACTCAACACAATTAAACATATTTTACAACCTTTTTTGGAAAGGGGGGATGTATGCCTTCTGTGGCACATTGGGACTGTTATGTGAGGAATTAAGCATGAACATTTCTTGGAAAATCTATATATCAATTCCACTTAGAATTATTCATTTACTGGTGTAAAGATCAAGACGCACTTTAATCCAAAGTCTGATCAATCCATATAAATTTATTTTTAAGAGAATACCAAGCGCCAAAAAAAAAAATTAATTAATTAAATTATTTTGGAATTCGAAGTATTTTATGGGTTATTTCTGTAATAAGAATAAGTAGTTACCATAAGAAAAATTTGGACAGTGAGATTTGTTTTTGCAGGGACGAATATATGTCCCTGGTTTTGAGATGGATCCATTGTACTGCTCTATATACGTCCCTGTAAGATGCTCAATACCAGAACTAACCTTTTATGCCACAAAGCCTCACTGTAAATTTGGAAGAATTTTACAGTAAATTTATTATTCAAGTTTCAAACAGAATGACTGAATTAGGGACAAAACAAGTGCTTAATGTAATAACTACAGGGGACCAAAATTTCCGCATAAACAATAAAATTGTAAACCGAAATGTCAGTCATGATTATTAGTATATTTCCTTTTGTTGTTTTACAAAAATGATGGGGGAAAAGGTATTATGCATTGAAAATTCACATATTTGTTTTTAAAGGTGCCGGGACTGCAGGAGAAGACGATCCTCTCTACCAATCAATTCCAGCCAGACCAGACACGGCAAGAACTCAGGATGGCGAAGTGGATACCCCCACTTTTGAGAAAGGACCGCAGTTTAAAAACTTCTCGGATTTGCCGCGAGGAATGAAGTAGGTAGCCATTCCTTAAGTAGACTACATAAATATTAGACTAGTTATATGAATACTTCTACGTGATGGTGTCTGCATCATGCACAACCCTTGCCTTTTCATACCTCATGAAAAACGAGGCGCGCTTTTCATATACACATGTACATGACTTATTATCTTTGTTTGACATTGAAACTTGATCATAATCATTAAAACATGCTTTGATTAACGAAATATTTTATTTTCATTTGTTTAGTTTTACCAGCTTTGGCTCCAATTTTAATCAAGCTAGAAAACGGTATTAATATACATGTAAAGAATTATTAATGTAGTTGTGTTGAAAATTTGTGTAGTGCAGCTTGAAATGATATTTTGCAACTTACTGTAGAAGAGCATTGTGTAAAATTCAGGATTTCGATTTTTTTTTTTATGCATTCTGTAGATACATACCCGTATAACACTTGCATTTTTATACTGGCATAAGGATTAATTATTTCATCACTAAAGTTAGTTTGAAATTTGAAAAAAAAATTAAAGAAATTTAATAAGTTTTCATGATCATGAACATTACAAAGTTTTGGGAGGTGCAATATCTCTTTTTTTCTTTATTGATTTAGATTGATCAATTGCTTGCAATGCACTTGCTCTATTTTCATATTTATGAGGCGCCGTTTTAATATTTTTAAGGTATTTTCTGATATCAAAAAATGATTTTTTGATATCAGAAATTCGAATTTTTGATATCAAAAAATCATTTTCTGATATCAGAAAATATATTTTTTGATTTCAAAAAATAAGCGAGATTTTTTGATATCAAAAATTCGAATTTCTGATATCAGAAAATCATTTTTTGATATCAAAAATTCGAATTTCTGATATCAAAAAATCATTTTTTGATATCAGAAATTCAACTGGATTTTTTGATATCACAAAATCAATTTTTTGATATCAGAAATTCAACAAATATTAGTGTTTAGGCTCATACAGATAATCTATTCTCCCCAAGATTGTTTTCACAGAAGTAGGGCTCCCCTCTGTTTGGGTTTTGTACTATTATCTATAGAATTAGTGGAAAGGCGAACTTGTATATGTTACAAAATGATGGTTACAAGTTTCCGTGTTTATGATGTAAAGAGAACTTACTGAATGCATAAAGTGTTAATTACTCTATTCATTTCTACTGTCATTTCCTACGAATCTCTTGCCATTACAACTCAAGGAGGCTTCAAGACTTATTTGGAATTCGGACATTTCAAACTTATCAGCATTGTAAATGCATGTACGTATCAATTTATGTATATTCATTTATTTCCCTGCATTAATCTATACAAAATTTTATTAAGAAAACACAAGGCTTTAGGCTAGACAATCAACTATGAAGTGATAACACTAATCAAAGTTAACAGAACATACAATGTTGCAGCGGGGATCGGTATTCAGGATGACACTAATACGAGTAAACTAACCATTGATACGGAATAAGGGAGGATTCATTAATGGAAGTTCTATTTATTTCACTCATATTTTCTGATATCAAAAAATCGATTTTTTGATATCAAAAATTCGAAAGCATTTTTTGATATCAGAAATTTATTTTCTGATATCAACAAATCGATTTTCTGATATCAGAAAATGATTTTTTGATATCAAGAATTCGATTTTCTGATATCAGAAAATCTACATTAATTTCTGATATCAAAAATTTGATTTCCTGATATCAGAAAATCATTTTTTGATATCAAAAAATCGAATTTTTGATATCAGAAAATCATTTTCTGATATCAAAAATTCAAATTCTTGATATCAAGAATTATTTTTTGATATCAAGAATTATTTTTTGATATCAAGAATTCGAATTATTGATATCAAGATTTCTTTTTCTGATATCAAAAAATACCTCAAAAATATAGAAATGGCGCCTCATACATATTCGCTATTTTTCTTATCATATGAACTGCTATTTACCATCTGAAATTTTCTCTCCTTAAAAAAAATAATATATACAATACTTTGTGTAAGGAGTAAGGTTACTCCAATTCATCTCTTACTTTCCCCCCCCCCCCCCAAGATTCTAGATCTTGTACATGTAGAAAAGGTAGTTTTTTTTTTAAATAGTCACCAGCAAAGACATTTTAAATATGTGTATTATTTTAATTTGGAGGAAAATAAAACCTACATTTACAAATTAACATGTTTTTGCATTTGCCTCCAATGAATTGTGCAACATTACCATTTTAAATACTTCTGTAATAGACTAGTGTATTTACATGATAGTGACCTAATTTCTTTCAGCGTAGATTCTTCCGCTGCTGAGTCGTAGGTATCCTGTATTTAAAACATAACCTACAAACCTAAGTTCACGCTTTCCTGCTTTTACCATACCATTTTGTATAATTATCCAGAAAGTTTCTTTTTTTTTTTGATATTGTTTTTTGGTGTTCTCCATTTTGTATACATGTACTATTTAAAACACAATAGAAACAAGAAAAATACATTACTATTTTATTGCATATTTTTAAAAGTAATTAAAATACATTTTCGTGAGGTATGTATGTAATAACAAGATGTCTTTTTGAACATTTAACAATTTCATATTCATTTGAATGTTAACATATTATCTATTGTGAAGAAGATAAATAATACATTTTGAAACGTGTTCGATACTCATAACTTGAATGAGATATTTTTAACGATTCCTTGCACCTTATTCCTTATCCCTGTTAATACACACCCCCGTTTTATTGTTGTGTTTCCCTGGATGAAATGAAATCACGACCTTTAATAGTTTTGACACTTCTTAAAAAAGAGGTAACATACACAGGTAACTGTGTTTACACAGGATGAATCCAAACACGCATTAACTTTTTTATTTGCGAAAATTAAGTACTTAACAAAAGTCATTTATTAAATAAAAACTTCACTGAAAATGATAAAGTATCCATATCTGCAAATAAAGTGTCTCTCCTTAAAAAAAACGATGGACTCTGATAGAAAAAAAAATCGATTCATATGAATGTTGAAAATATAACTCTCTTTGCTAAGTTCTGGCATATGAAAATGTACTTAAGTTTATAATATATATATATATATATATATATATATATATATATATATATATATATATATATGTATATATATATATATATATATATATATCACTTGATTTAAGCACAAAGTTTTAGCATACTAGTATTATTATTTATCCCTTTCTGTAATCGTGTTCTTGGCAGAAATTAGATGATGTTGCAATTAACGGTATATAAGCTTTCAGAGCAAGATGCATTAAAAATGCCAGAAGCTTTCCGAAAGCAATAAAGCGACAATCTATATCCTCTAAATAGAACTTTACTAAGGAACTAATAATCTTCTTTATGCAGGGATGTTTTCCACTATGAGCAACACCAGAAGATGGCCAGGGAGAGACAAGCGAAATTAGACCAAGAAAACGAGAATAAGGATAGCAAAACCTGCTCTGTGATGTGAAATAATGATAGCAAAACCTGCTCTGTGATGTGAAATATAAAATCTTTCTTGCATTAGCTGTTGTGAACATAAGTCTTAGTAATGGATTCAAAGTCACACCTGTTCATTTTCAATGTAAAGAAATGTTGTTTCGTTCAAAGATCTTGAATGTGTCTTTTCTAGTTATCTCGAGTCATTCGACAATTTGGTGAAAATTGCCATTGTGAAAAGATAAAAAAAATTACTAACGAGTTGAATTGTTAATTAACAAAACGCTTGCTGACAGTGCCTGTAAAAAAATGTCCATAATGATATCAATTTTCAGTTAAAAAAAAAAATTAAATAGCCAAGCTTGATTATGTTTTAAATACATGTATTGAAATTATGGTCATACACACGCACTCCACCACATATATATATGTCAAAATAAGTGTCGTAAACGCATGGATATGTTCTAGTTTCGTGCTTGTGATTTGAATTGATCAGCAAATAAATAAATGATTGACTTTTTTAGAATATTGTCACATGAAGGAAAAGTAATTTATCGTGATTTCAATATTGATTTTTAATTGTTTAACTTGAAACTAATGTAGATTCTTGTACATGTGTATATCAGCTAGTGCTTGATAATTTGTTTTAATTGGCCACTGGGACATGAAAGGGTTTTTTTTAATTTTATTTTATTTATTTATTTTTGTTAACGCTTAGATAGATTGCAGTAATTAATACATGTGTTAAAAATAACTGTAGCAAAAACTTTCAAGAATTTTAATTTCATTTAGCACACTTGACAGTGATGGAAGCTATCAGTAGATTGTAAGATAACCTGATGCTTATCTAGTACGCAAGAATTGGCTTGAATTTTATTATAAATTATGTTCACAGAAATTAATACAACTAATAGCAGCATAGAGCGCAACCTGTAACTTGCATAAAGAGTGTGAGAATAGTGGGTATATATTCTTATTTTCAATTATTTTTTTGTTATTATGGAATATGTATACTTGGACACATTTTTAATATCTGTCTGTGATATGTGGTTCATACAAAACGAGATTCATCTCTAAAAAGTTGAAATAAAGTAGATCAAAACACAAATATGCAATGAGTGTTTTTCTTATTTCATTTTTCTCAGTAGCGCTTGGCATGAGAGTGCATAATTCATTTTGTAGCATTCTCAGTATACTGGTTCTGATATTGACCCACAGGTCGTAAAATTTCATAGTTTGGTATAAGGTTGATCATGCAATTTGTCTTCTAAATCTCGATATGAGTAAAGAGTGTTTTAAGAAATTATGCATTTTCGATACAAGACCAACTTGGTCCCACCCTGGCTTCAAGACTATAAACTGAGAACAGACTTTAATCAAAATTTTTATTATCTCAGCTCAAGTTTTATTTAGCATATTTGCTTTAAAATATGCAGGTCTGTGCAATCAAACACATGATGAGTTTTGATTCATTATCGACATTATTTCAAAAAGTTATATCGATTTGAAATTTTTGACTTAAGTCTGTTCTCAGTTTTTGGTCTCGGGCCTGGAGTGTGAACCCAGGGTTCATGGATTTTCACAATGGTAGAAGACTCACTGCTTATTCTAATCAGGCCAACAGTTTCACTCTTGGTTTCCAGGAGTAGAGAAAATTTCTTAAAATGGAATTAATTTTGATGGTATTGCTTCCACCCCTTAAGGAACCAGGTATAACAATACTTATTTTCATTATGTGAAATTGATATATCCCAGTAGACAAAAAGGGCATGTTTTAAGTACAATCAATTTTTAAATTGAGGCAGGCTACTGACAAATTAAATGATCCCACAGGATTTCAACTATCTTACGTCAAAATTTCACAAATTCTAGGGTCATTATAATGATTGATTGATTGTATGTTGTTTAACTTCCTATTCGAGAATTTTTCACTCCTATAGAGATGTCACCGTATGCCGGTGAAGGGCTTCAAATTTAGACCTATACTCGGCACTCAGGGCCATCGAGCAGTGAGGGTTCTTTATCGTGCCAACACCTAAGGTGACACAAGACCTTGTTTTTTAAGGTCTCATCCGAAACACCCGTAACTTTCAAATCTAATGCCGGGAGCTTGGCGAAGGAACAATCACTACCTATGTTTAGGTCTTCTGTTTGAAGCGGCGCGGCAAATGAAAATCTAACCCAGGCCTCCCATTCACGGTCATTATAATGACATTTGCAAATTTAAACCAGTTGGATTGTATTATGAACAACATATTTCCCATCAATTGTTTTTTCATACCTTTTTGACTACAGGATTACTCTGTTTACCTGATCCATGGAAAGGGCTTACGACAGATGTTACCAGTCCACAGCTAGGCACCTGATCCCACCTCTGGGGTTTCCAGGGATCCATGTTTTTGCACTGTTCATAATATTCTTCACTGGATTTATGAGATAGATCATGTTTGTTATCTTCACTTTTTACGTGATCTTAGTGTACTGTTTTGCAGTGACTAAAGTTGTCTAGATCAAAACTGTAGGAAAAGTAGCATTTTGAAAAAAAATATCATAGAATTTTCTAATTTTAGTAATCATGGCAACAAATGCCATAAGTGGCCATTTCTAATGATAGACTGGGATTATACATTTTTTGTGATGGATTTCGAACTTCCCAAAATGACCTTGGGTTGAGGTCCAAACACAACTTGAATTTGAACAGATCATGACCTTGAGTCAATGGTCATGATAAACCATAATCTGTAATCTTTATGTGAAATATGAACTTCCATTGTTTCTCCATTAGAAATTAAGGATCAAACAGGAATTTACATTTTTCCACCAGAGACCTTGAACTTGTCCATTTTATCTTAAAATATTGGTCAATTTTCAATATGAGAATGCATAACTGGTGCTTTTATTCTTATTTCCTGAAAATGTATGAGATTTGATATTTTTGCCTATATAATATGATTAACTGAAATGATGAACTTAGAAGAAATTATGGGTATATTCACACTTTTGTATGAATTCAGTGACATTTTTGTGAGCATTTTCAATTGTTAAAACCTTAGAATGGACTACCTTAAAAAAATGTATTACATTTAGTAGACTATTGAAAAAAAAAATACAGAAGAGCAGACAGAGAGCTAGAAGGACACTTAACCATTGTATAAACTCTATCTGACTTTTGGGCTATAAAACTTAGATGAGCTCACATTTGATTTCAGTCTCACTTATGTAAAAGTGAGACTGAGATCAAAAGTGAGCTTGTCTAAGTTTAATGTCCCTGGAGCCTGGTCTACCTTACCTTCATCTTTCCAAGTCAAAGGTTTCTGATCCACTCCGCTCCACATAAACCCTTGACCGAATTGACTTAGTTTGACAGGATTTACTTTCGTGCCATCTAGTGAGATTACACATTTTGAACTCTATTGACCTTTGCTATTGACCAATCAGAGTAAGCGATGTAAATAGAGAAAGCAAGAACAAAAATATTGCAAGTTGGTAATAAATTCAACATAATTCAACTAACTAGAAATATGTCCATAGGACATGAATGCCACGCCGAGGGTATATTAGTAATGCAACATTTAACACAAATTGAGAAAAGTGAGGTCAAGGTCAAAGGAAAGGTCAAGGTGAAAAAATATTGATGCAGTTGAAAAGCTTACATCAGTATGTATCAGCATATGAAGTTTGACACTAATTTAAGAAAAGTGAGGTCAAGGTCAAAGGAAAGGTCAAGGTCAAAAGTTGTTGATGCAGTTTAAAAGGTTACATCAGTATGTATTAGCATATGAAGTTTGATAAAAATATTATGAATGGTTTCTTTAAAACTGAGCTAAACACTAATTTAAGAAAAGTGAGGTCAAGGTCAAAGAGAAGGCCAAGGTAAAAAAATATTGATGCAATTGAATAGCTCTCATCAGTATGTATCAGCATATGAAGTTTGATACTAATTTAAGAAAAGTGAGGTCAAGGTCAAAGGAAAGGTGAAGTTCAAAAAAAGTTGATGCAGTTGAATAGCTCTCATCAGTATGTATCAGCATATGAAGTTTGATAACACTATCTTGAATGGTATCTTAAAAACTGCGCTAAAATCTTATTTTAGAAAAGTGAGGTCAAGGTCAAAGGAAAGGTCAAGGTAAAAATACTGATGCAGTTAAATAGCTCTCATCAGTACGTATCAGCATATGAGGTTGTTAAAAATATCTTGAATGGTTTCATTAAAACTGAGCTAAACATTAATTCAAGAAAAGTGAGGTCAAGGTCAAAAGAAAGGTCAAGGTCAAAAAATGTTGATGCAGTTGAATAACTTACATCAGTATGTATCAGCATATGAAGTTTGATTACACTATCTTGAATGGTATCTTTAAAACTGAGCTTAACACAAATTTAAGAAAAGTGAGGTCAAAAGAAAGGTCAAGGTCAAAAAATGTTGATGCAGTTGAATAGCTTACATCAGTATAGATCAACATATGAAGTTTGATTACATTATCTTGAATGGTATCTTTAAATCTGAGCTAAACACTAATTTAAGAAAAGTGAGGTCAAGGTCAAAGGAAAGGTCAAGGTCAAAAAATGTCGATGCAGTTCCATAGCTCTCATCAGTATCTATCAGCATATGAAGTTTGATAAAAATATCTTGGATAGTTTCTTTGAAACTGAGCTTTGAACAGAGCTAAACACAAAGTGTGACAGAAGGACAGATGGAAGGACAGAAGACGGACATGACAAACACTATATGCCCCAGCCATATTCATGGCGGGGCATAAAAAAAGCTGAGACAAACCTTTAACTGGGCTATTTAGTAAAGACATTATCAATGTAGCTAAAATGTGTGTGTTTTTCTGTTTATGATTTAGTTTCAGGTTAAATAAAAGAATGTTTTTGATTGGTTCATGCAAACTTGCATTAGGCCAATCAGAGAGCGCATTCTAACCCCATCAAACTTGGTCTATTCGGTCAAGGGTTTATGTTGAGCGGATTGGATCAGAAACCCTTGACTTGGGAAGATGCCTTACCTTAAACATTAAAATGAGAATCTAACTCTAGGATATCTTAAGATGATGTAAGTAATTCATTCATTGCAAGTGAAAAAGTGAAACAAAGTGATGTTAGTGGATATATATAGATACTACCCCACTGCAGTGCTTTTGATAAAATAATTACAATAACAAAACAAAATTGATGATGTTTTTTTCATGAAGTTTTTTAATTTGTGTAGAAAATGAACAGGATGATATTTGAACAGATGATGTTTCTCTATTTGAAAACAATTATCTACATTTATATACTGTAAGTTTCATGAAACATAAATACATGTACTTGAACATGAACTATCTCTGTTTATATCAGAATTCAAGATATATCTGTTCAAGTGTTCTACACAATATAAGGTTGTACAACCAATGTGTGCCTGTTCCTTTACAGCCCCACAAGCTAAGAGTTTAATATCTAAAAACAAACGGAAAAGTGTCAGTTCTCAAAAAGAGAGCAGCTGCAGAGTTTCATTGCAAATCACTAAAAATTCTTTGTTCTTTCACCTTCTCCTTCCATCTTTTCTTCCTCTGAAAAAATTTATAATAAACTGTTAAGGGCAATTTAAATCGATCTTTGAAAAGCAAGCTTTATCAATAAGAAGTTGGTACATGTAACATGCACCCTTCGTTTCAGAAGGAATTTTTCTGGACTTCAGGATTCACATCGTCAAATATCCTCAGCTGATCTCCTCTTCTACTTCTGAGTTACAAACAAAATCAACCAAGGGTATCTGATGATGCGAGATTCACAACAATTGGCCAAATTGTTATTGCTTATGATAGGACATAAAAAATGTAACATGAGGCCCAAGGGCCTTAATGGTCACCTGAGTATAATACAACAATTTAGAGGATCCATAGAGTATAAAATGAACTGAAAGGTGAAGCTTTATTGCCCAAAAGCAAGAAAAATAGGGTGATCAGGATCAACAAAATAATTAGTCTAGCATTCATTAACAGTTCATAAATTAGGTTATAATCTGTTCCCCATTTATCACTATCACCATACAAGTATATTAATTAACAAACTATCAATGCTTCTGTACTATTTTAATTCCTTGTTGAAATCACTCACATTGTTTTTTGTCTCATTTTTATTTATCTATTACTTACAAGTCTACCTGATCATTAAAACTAAGAAAGTACTTTTTGTATTACACAATAAAAATTCTTGCATAATTCTCTTATTCTATTAAACTTTCAAGTACATTATTTACAGTGATTAATTATCAAAAGTAAATGGCAAAGGGGAATAACTACTCTCAGTAGAATACAAATTAATGGAGCCCTGGCCAGGACAAGAACACTTGACCAAATGGTCCAGATATTCAAAAATCTGGTAAAAATACCCTTCCTTATTTTAAACAACTTTACTTTTTTTGCCTCTGATATGCCCAAGTGCAGAGAAGATTTCCACAGAAATAATGCATTTTTACTACAGATTCACTATATTATCAATAGAGCCCCCCCCCCCCCCCACCCCACCCCCTCCCCACCGAGAAATACCAGAGCCTCTCACCCTGGGACCAGAAGTTTGCTCATCATAAGTAATCACTTTGTTTATCTGCTTACCACTAAGGAGCAGACAGGATTATTTAATAGAATTAATGCATTTTCAGTATATTATCAAGAGCCCCACCCTTACACCAGCAAATCTGACCCAGGGGTCATGCAATTCACTACTCTGGAAGAAGCACTCTTGCTCATCATAACTATACACTTAATTCTTTGCTTTTTAACTAGAAGCAGAAAAGAATATTATCAAAGAAAGTTTGCCTTTTCACTATATAATCAATAGAGCCCCCCCCCCCCTTTCACCAGAACCCTTGACCCTGGGGCCATGAAATTCACAATTTTGGAAGAGGCATCCTTGCGTATCATAACAATGTACTTATTTTGTTTAAATAATACCCATGAGCAGAGAAGAAGATTTTAAAGCATTAATGCATTTTCACTATATAATAAATAGAGCCCCGCCCTAACACCAGGACCCCTGACCCTGGGGCTATGAATTTCACAATTTTGGTAGAGTCACTCTTGCTTATTATAACTATGTATTTAATTTGTCTAAATAATACCCAGGAGTAGAGAAGAAAATTTTCAAAGAAATAAATGCACTTTCACTAAATGATCAATATAGCCCCACCCTAGCACCAGAGCCCCTGACCCTGGGGCTATGAATTTTACAATTTTGGTAGAGTCACTCTTGCTTATCATGACTATGTATTTAATTTGTCTAAATAATACCCAGGAGTAGAGAAGAAGATTTTCAAAGAAATAATGCACTTTCACTATATGATCTATATAGCCCCGCCCTAGCACCAGAACCCCTGACCCTGGAGCTATGAATTTCACAATTTTGGTATAGTCACTCTTGCTTATCATAACTATGTATTTAATTTGTCTAAATAATACCCAGGAGTAGAGAAGAAGATTTTCAAAGAAATAATGCACTTTCACTATATGATCTATATAGCCCCGCCCTAGCACCAGAACCCCTGACCCTGGGGCTATGAATTTCACAATTTTGGTAGAGTCACTCTTGCTTATTATAACTATGTATTTAATTTGTCTAAATAATACCCAGGAGTAGAGAAGAAGATTTTCAAAGAAATAATGCACTTTCACTATATGATCTATATAGCCCCGCCCTAGCACCAGAACCCCTGACCCTGGGGCCATGAATTTCACAATTTTGGTAGAGGGCTCAATGCTTATTACAATCATGCCAACAGTTTGACTGCTTGATGTCCAGGAGTAAAGAAGAAGATTTTTAAAGATTACATTAATTTTGGTGGTTTTAGCCCCACCCCTCAGGCCCCAGGGGAGCAGGGACCATGAAATTCACAAATTTTGTTCCCCTTCACACATAGATGCCATATGCTAAAATTGGCTCAAATTGGTTCAGCGGTTTCAGAGAAGAAGCTGAAAATGTTCAAATGTTAACGCACGATGGACGACGATGGACGAAAACAGATAGCAATAGGTCACCTGAGTGACTCAGGTGACCTAATACATGTAACACAAATTATATTTGATAATAAATCACTGAATCAACAAGAATAGGTTGAGTTTGATAATACTCAGGCTATCAATGTTATTATCTAATTTAAAGCTGTACTGTTCGTAATTTATAAGTCATGTATTTGACTTCTTGATGCCATATGCTAAAATTGGCTGAAATTGGTTCAGCGGTTTCAGAGAAGAAGCTGAAAATGTTCAAATGTTAACGCACGACGGACGACGATGGACGAAAACAGATAGCAATAGGTCACCTGAGTGACTCAGGTGACCTAATAACACAAATTATATTTGATAATAAATCACTGAATCAACAAGAAAGGTTGAGTTTGATAATACTCAGGCTATCAATGTTATTATCTAATTTAAAGCTGTACTGTTCGTAATTTATAAGTCATGTATTTGACTTCTTGATGTAAAATACAGTCAAACCTCTTTATCTCAAACTTGATGGGACCAGAAAAAAAAGAGATATACGAGGATTCGAGATATCGAGGGTTAAATACTTAGATAATAAGTGATTGGGACTTCAAAATTACTTCCAGATATCCATGGTAAAAATATTGGTGTTCGAGATACTGAAGATCAACTGTTTGTGAAAATATTACTTTTTCAAGAAGATATCAATAATTTTTAAGTTTATTCAACACATTGTATTATTCAATACATTGTATACATCCATTAATTGAGTATGCTGTTGAAGATTTTATGAATTTTCATCATCTCAAGAATTAAAATATATCTACACATGACACCACAAATAAGGTAGACTTGCTGAATAACCACTCTCCTGCTTTAAGAAGTTTTCACTTCAGAAAAAAATCACTGTAAAAGTGTTGCTCTCATGCTCATGAATTGCTTTGCTTCCATATACACCTAAGACTTACAAGATCTCAAAAAAGCATTTTAATTTCTTGAGAGATCCAACCTTTTATATTTTGCAATTTTTAAAATGATCATGTTTTTGGTTTGGAAAGGAGAAATACACTCAATCTACCAAATATTTTTTCTATCTAAATTGTTAGAGACCATATCAATAATAAAGTAAAGCTGCAACAGAGAGCAACTCACCGTCCCTTCCTTGGACCACGAACAAAACACCAGTCTACATTGATCTTCTGACCAAGGATTTCTGATCCGTTTAATGCATCCATTGCTGACTGGGCCTCTTTGAAGGTTTCATATTCTACAAGAGCATATCCCTGTGGAAACAAATGGAATATGCTTTATCATTTGAAGATTATAAACAAGTTTAAAAAAAATCTACTCCAATTTTACTCAAAAGGCTTAAAGCAATTAAATATTGCTTTGTTTGAATTTGCAAAATCAGTTTCACTTCTATGCATTAAGTAAGATCAAAATTATCTAGTACCTTGACTTTCTATTCAATTTTAATTAAAAGAAAACCACAAAAACAATGTCTTTAAAATATATTTCAAAAAATACAATTACATGTATGTGCACACAAACTTTAATCCAAAAAACATTGGAACTGGACATTTGATTTGTTCACCTTTAAAAAACCTGTGCGTCTGTCAAGATTAAGGTGAATATTTTTTATGGTGCCATAGTCTGCAAATTTGTCGTGAACATCATCTTCTTGAGCCTCTTCATGTACACCAGTAACAAACAGGATCCACCCCTCTACAGCTAAAAAGAAATGAATTAAATATTTCAACTGTGATCAGGAGCAGATATTCATTTTTAAAGAAATTAAAACATTTACTTGACTTAATTTTCAAATTTGTCAATAATTTCATTAAATTTACATCTCTGGGGACCAGGTCCTCCTTCTTCATCTATGTCCATAGCTTCATAATCTTCTACCCCACTCCGTGTGGGACCATCTATAAAACATAAGTCAACAAGTATTATATCAAGTAATGCTATTATATGTAGCTTAAGAACATGTGTACATATTAATATTGCATGATGTATGCTTCAGATGTGCATGAAAACAACAAACTTTTGACAAAATGCATTTGTTTGTTTACTGATTGTGAACTTTTACAAATGGCAAATTGTTGCATCTTAGAAAAATTACCCATCATATAAAAACAGACTATCGTATATACTCGCCAATAAGCCCGTTTTTTTTGGAGTTAGACTTTGGTCCAAAACTCTTTATCCAACTTATATGCAAGTTATAAAAAGATTGATATTTTAGCGAGTCTATTCCTCTAATTTAAGCTTAAAAAATACAATTGACTTATAGGCAGACTGACTTATAGTTATAGGCGAGAGTATACGGTACCAATAAACCGTTTCCTGTTATATAAAGCACTTATTAAGGACAACAAAAGGCACAATGCCTCATTCAACCAAATTTTGATCTTATTAATCCAAAAATATAGGTGTTACATATGGTATGACAGGTGTTTTAAATTTGTTGCACTGCATATGATATTCATAAAAATTATCAGATAGATTTAGAATAAAAATGTTTTTTTTTTAATTGCATAAATCATTTTTTTTCATTTTGTTATTCTCATAAAACATACCATGTATACATGGCATATTCATTTTGAAAATAGTCGATTAAAAATTTCAACAGTTGCACCATAGTTTCCTTGACCTGCATGGCCTTCCCAAATAATTGGAAAGGTAAAATAAAGTAACATTTACATTTCAAGAGGCATTTCACAAAAAATAAAAGTGCAACAAATATAGTATATATTACCAACCAATTTTCAAATTCTTTCTACATAATATAAACAAATAAAATGCCATTCAGAGTTCAGAGAAATGAAGAATTCTAGAAACTATGAGGCCAAAGAATGTTTGCCTTTTAGATGATTGCTCAGATTTCATGCTGTGACTTTATATATCTAAGGGAACTGGTATAAAATGGACATAGTTGGTAAATAGCTTTGTCTCTGCTCTTGCTAAAAGGTAAATGTTTCCGAGCTTATCTTTTCTATCACGACTAAATGACAGGATGCTGTTAGTTTACAGTTTTGCCCAAGGTATGAGACATGTGACCAAATATTCAAATATTGGTACTAAATATCCAATTGAATATTCACCATATACTATCAATTTGAAAATATTTCAGCATTTGTTTTAGCTGTACCTTCCATCCAAACAAAAAACACTTAACACAAATGTTTATTTTATGCAATGAATAAATATACAGTATCTCGAACACTGATATCTTGTATATGTCACATCCCAACTAATTTAACTGCAGGTGCTTGTGTTTCTGAGAAACATGGTCTTGAGATCATGAAACATCTTAAGCTTAAGTCAAAATTTTAATGTTGTATTAAAATTTTGTAGAAGTCAAGCAGACCAAAATTAAAATATTTTTCAATATTGCTTCACAAAAGTGTTGTTATTTGCAAATTTAGAGATTAATCCAATTATTAATAAACATTTTACAGCCGATTGAAAATGTGACTTAAGTCTAAGTCTGTTTCATGATCCTGGGGCCTGGCCTCTATAGAAGGAGACTTTCCAATGCATCACTGTGTCTGTCCTGTCTTAAGTTTATTTTACCTTTGAAACACATTAATGTATAATATCCAATTCATTGTTACACAAAGACAACAAACCTGCTCCGAATCCTCTTCCTTTCCTCTTCTTAGCTTTTTCTTTTAACTTTAATAAGCCCTCTGAAAAGAAATGAACTGTGTGGAACAATAATTTTCTTTACAGATGTACAAGCCAAATTCCACTATGTGTCTAAACTTCAATAGATACTAGCAATTGCATGTGCAAAGTACACAATGAGGAAATTCTGGTGGATCGAATTCGTTTACATACAAAATATTAAGATAAGGAAATAAACCACTGAGTAAGTAAAATTATAGGGTAGAAATTTCCTCAAACATTGTCACATGCAAATACCACTGTATATATTTATTTGCCATCAATTTTGGCGTCATCGCGTCAACATAAATTTCAATTTTCAGTTTCCTAAGTTTCATTTAAAAGTAAACTTTATAGAACATGTATTTGCATGATTTGAGCTTACGATCTCCCTCTTCGTCAACTTCAAATTCATCTCCACCCTCCTCAATTTCATGTAAATCTAAAACATCAGCCATGCCGCCGGATTTTTATCTGTTTTCAATTTAACCGGAAGTATATATATGTTTAAGGTGAACGTATTTTCCAACTCGGATAAAACGGGTAAGACGGAATATTTTTTTTCTTTATTCATAGAATACAAATAAAAATATAATTTAATTAATATATACATACAAGTGGAAAACGTACAATACGAATAAAAATTATATGTACAATATAAATAACGAAATATAGAATACAAATAGAAAATATAGAATACAAATAAAAATTATACAATACAAATGGAAAACATACAATACAAATAAAAAATATAGAATACAAATAAAAAAAAATATATACATACTTAATAGGAATTTTTCTCGGCTCTTTCGTCCATCTTCTTTATGTTGTATAATTTTTTTATATGCATTGTATATATATATTTTTTAATTGTATTATATATAAGGCAAAAACGATCATTTGTTCTAGCTATAACACAATTTTTCTCTATCAGAGGATATTGGCTCCATTATTTTTTTTTTTTTAAAGTATATCCTCATAGTACATATGTTTAAACTTTAAAAATATAAAATTTTTGCTTAGACCTTAAAAATACACTTTTATGACACAAAATTTTAAATCTTTCAGAAAAATATTTAGGTCAAGTAATTCAAGGGTCATATCTTAAACAAGATTTAAATTTGTGGTTTAGTGGTACATATGTAAGTATGTCAATATCTAAGAGAGAAAACTGATACTCAGGATTTTCATCTCTTGAGTTGAAATCCATAACTTTTTTATCATAGAATTATTTTTGGCGAGAGAATTATTCGGCAGAAAATCTTGTTTGTCATAATTTCATACCTTTCAATAATAATAAGAACTTTGCTCTAAATACTGAGATGACACATAATTGAATTTGATTTTTAAATATTTGAAGCTACATGTATAGGTATTTTGCACGCCTTTTTCGCCCATCTTCGAGTGAAATATGCAAAACAAACGAACAATTTTGGAATACAAATGGGAAGTTCGAAGTTTACAAGCCATATTTATGTTCATCGCGAAAACGTTTAAAGTAAAACATTATTACAATTTAACTTTTTACAAGATTCTTGCTGAGTGAAGTCTATGTAGCCCGCCCTCTTGTGAGATATTGCCGTAACACCAGGGGTGCGTTCAAGATCGAAGTGGCTACGTAGCCTCTACGTAGAACTACGATCTTGAAAACGATATGCTTCCAAGCCGCTAGGTAAGGAAAACTAGCATAAATAATCTTATGCTATAGGTATACCAAATCCTAGTTGGCTTCCTAGGTTACCCCTTCGCACCATACGAGATACTAAAAAAGTAGGGGGTCTCCATTTTAGTAAATTAAATGTTAATTTGGACAAGGTATGGCAACGGCCAAATTTGGTCCCTTATTTGAGAAAAAAATTAAAACACATCCAGTTCATATTGTGATAGTTGGCACTTAAGAACTTTAAATAATGTTTGTTTTAAATCCAGCATTAATTTTAATTTAATTTAACAAATTTTCTCAATTCTAATGGAATTTCATCAAATTTAAACTTTCACTTCGGAAAACGTAGAACAAAGGCTTGTCCATCTGAGATTTTCATACATAAGATGTATCTGATACTAGTGCATGAAATATATAAATCTGGTAAATTGGCAATTAAGCTTGAGCTCTGTTTTCTGAAACAAAATGTGCTTTAAAATTGTTAATTGATGAAAATTGGAATAAAAAGGAGAAAATTTGGAAATTGATGAATTCGCCGACCTTTCCGTGACCTCTGTGTACCATACCACTTAAAATCAATACTTATTTTATAACAGAGATAACAACAGGCTTTTAATGATGAACTGTTGTATCGTTGAAAAAAAAGACACCCTATAAACCGGGGGGGGGGGGGGGGATCTTGCCCTATCTTGTCCTTTACATATGCATTTTCACTTGAGTTCAGCTTACTTTTTTCCAAAAATTAGTTATAACTGAGATATATACATGTATGTATATATGATCTAACATTTAGCGGCCGTCTGTTCAATACAGAGACTTGTTTAATTATTTGTTACTTAATGCTCTTCATCCTTTTAATGGATAATATATATTTGTATTAAATAACAGTAGGAGGGCGGATGGATATGCATGGTCTCGAAACAATAGCAACGGAATGAAAATACTATATGGACAACCTGTGGAACAAACGAAAACCACGTTTAAGACTTTCAATCTGGTTATTTTTATATTAACTAATAAGGAATTCAAAAAATTACAGTTATCACAATGCATGCTAATATTTGGCCATCTCGTAAATCAGATTTCTACCTCACACAAGTAATGAATATTTGTTTGAGGAAATTCACAATATCATAAACTTTGAATCACATGAAAATTAATCTACAAACTGTCATAAAAATCAGTCCACAGTTGAGCAGAAGCTATGAGATCGTCTGTACTTATTTCTTTCACTGAACTGGATTCTTTGGAACCTCCAGTACTCTTGGTACTTTTCTTGGTAACCTTAGTTATTTCCGAGACCTGGATGCCCTTTCTTTGTCCACTCCGGTGTTCGGATACAGATTGATTTACCTTTGGTTTTTCATTTCTTTCATAAGTTTTTGATCCAAAATAATAAAGTTTTAAATCGTCTGTAGACACATAAGGTTGGGGTTCTGGTAAACTTTTCTGAATGTCCGATGTTTTGATACCCTCTGCGGTTTTGACTGGCGGTATCCTGGAGTTTCTAACAGAACACGTTCCACTTTCTCTGGTTTGTTTTACGTTAGAAACTGGTTGTGACAGTTTGGTAGCCTTTCCAGCATCTTTCACTGATTTCTGTAAAAACGGTTTATTTTTTACAATTTGTTTTCCCATTCTCCACGGTGTAATAAAAATTTAATGAGGAGCTCGATTCTTTTTGTATATGCATGAAGTTACAATTTATCTGTATTTATACAGACAACACACCCTCCCCTTCACACCCATTTGACGTCAATGTGTAAAGATACCCTGTTTTGATGGTTATTTAAAGCTTAGGTCGGTTATTTCTGGGACCAAAGTCCCCTTTTGGAACCAATAGGCACTAAATGGCCTTTAATTTGTATTGTCTTTGAATGTGTTTATCTAATCATTTCAAACTACGGATGTACATTTCTATACATTGTAGAAATGTCACACAGATCTCGGTTACATATTCCTGTTTAAAATAGTTCGAGGTGAATAACGGTAACATTTTAATAATTTGTAGTCTTTCATCATGTTCATCCAGACTTTCTAGTCATGTGCGTAGATCGTCATACAAAACTTCGTCATATGCATTGTTTCAAACCATCAAACATTTGAGAGAGAGAGAGGAGGGGGGTTAAATTGTCTCTCAAGAATGGAGATGTAGTAACCGACAAAACGATTTTTCTCTCTTTATCAGTGTTTATTAGACTTTGAAAGCCCACCGTTACCATATAATTGAAATAAAGGCAAACATATCTTAAGAAGCTATCAATTTATATGCAAGATCATGGGCCGTCTGAGTCACCTTAGCCCCGCTATTCTCCAGAAGATTTTAAAAAGATTTTTCTCTTCTTTATTCCTTTTAAAATTTGGATCCAATATTTGTCACCCTATCCTAGTCACAAGGCACATGACTTAACCATACCTGAATCCATAAATCATGCATGGAGATGCTTCCATACCAATATTCATGACTTTATTTAATTATTCTTGTTATTCTGGAGAAGGTTTTTTTTTTTTAAAAAAGATTGCTTTTTCCTGCATCAAGTTAATCTTTATCACTGATTTTAGCCCCGAATACATAAACTTGATCGACACAACTAGGGATTTATGTTGCGTAATAATGTGGCCCTGCTACCGTTGAAAAGAATATGATTTTAATTTCCTGTATAGACCCACGTAAAACTCCTTATTGTTGCCTCATCCTAACCCTCTCCTCTTAACCTTGCTACCAGTGGAAGCGAGTAAATAAATATGACTTACCATAACCCTGGTATACAATCTATATTACTTTATAAAACTATCAACCTCCATCCTATAACCCGGGGCCACAATTTGAACAAACTTGAAATCTGCACTACATGAGGATTCTTCCATATCAATCTGACTAAACATGGCTTTGCTGTTCTTGAGAAGATTTGTAAAGATTTTTTTCTATATATTCCACTGTGATACCGTTGATCCCCTATTGTGGCCCCATCCTACCTCTAGGAGCCATGGACTATTTGAACAAACTTGAGTCTGCGTTGCTAATTAAAGTCATACGCAACGTACATGTACTTTACAATGTACTTTTCCCACTTATAATTTTCCAAGATAGATGTGTATTCTTAATTTAAATCGTAATACCGTCAAATGTTCTCAGACAAAAAAAAAATCAGCATACATTACCCACACCCTATTACCGGCAACTGGGACTACCGATGCAACTGTGACAACAGACGCCAGTGTTGTTTATCGCTTTCACAGATAGGTGATTTTTATCTTATCTGTGGCAATTAAAAACATCCATTTACTAATTTATTGTGGTTTCCCGTTTTGGTCCTACCATAAACTTTTTCTTCGTAGAATATAAAACTATGATTTACTCATTAAAGTAAAATAGGAAAGGAGTAAAGTTAAATTTTAACCATCGTACAAGAATATTTGGTTAAACTGGGCTTATATCAGTAAAACTGTTACTTCACGGTCATATTTCAGGTTGAATATAATAAATTTAGGCTCTTTACGATCTAAGTACAAAATTTGGATAGTCTTACTTGTTTAATAAGTGTGCTGCAAGCGTTTGATTTGGGTGGGTAAACATTTTTTGGCTATCGTGTACAACAGATTGGGCAAACAATGACAGCAGATTCATAACAAAATATGGCAATCGGAAACAAAGGTTACGAATTTTAATAAAATATAAATCTACTGTATTTAATCAAATTTCAAATTCAGCGATATATTTATTTTTATTGTTAATATTTGTCGTACTTACAATAGTCGCTAAACGACAGTTACTGATTCAAACTATTCATTTATTTCCAATATGAATATGATTTAAGGAATAAAGGATTAATACAAATCATGCACAAT